ACGAAGAGGAGCTTGCTAGTGCGCGTGGTTCGAGCAGCAGCAGCAGCGACCGCGAGTCGTTGCGAGAGTCGAGGAAGGCATCTTTTCGGATGGTCTTTGGTTTTGACGGGGACATGCTCCTTCTGAACCCGGTCTTATGTTGAGGTAGGGTTGTCGAGGTTGTGAACCCATGTAATCAAGGGTTGTCATCGAGGCTGACGGTTCAGTTTGTCGGGGTGTTCAATCGGAATGGAGAACAATTTTCTCGAGAGGAGGGGGGAGCATCGGCTCTCGACCCGGGACTCGGAAGGGAGGAACTGTCGGGGATGTTGACTCGAGGCTTCGAAGGGATTGGTTCGGGAGGTTGAAGTTATTCAGTCGGGAGGTTGAAGTTATTCATTCGGGAGGCCGAGTGTATTCAATCGAGAGGTCGGGGATGCCCACTCGGGAGTTCGAGATGTTGGAGGCATCGCATCAGAAACAGGCGTCGGCACGCTCCCATGGTACGCCCTTTGATGGTGGAATGTTAGCAGCGGCGCATGAAAGTCGAAGGGGACGAATGAAATGCACCTTGACAAATTGCTCCGGTCTCGATAGGACAAGATGATGGCGAGACAAGTGAAACCACTTTGCGGATGCGGCGTGGGAGGACAAGATATTAACAGAGGTGCAGGGGGGACGGATGTGCCTAAGGTAAGGTACCGTAGGTATGGCTCTAGGGAAGAGAAGCTCCAGGTTCACAGGAGGCAGGCTCGGGAGAGGTAGCAGCTGAGGTCAAGGCAGTTAGCGCCGGGTAAGGGGGGTCAGATATCGGGGAAAGACCGTGGGGAGAGGTAGTAGCTAGAGGTGGTAGCTCAGCTTGCAGCGGGCCTGGCTACCACCTCATGGCGGGGCACAACTAGAAGGCAAAGCTTGCTGATCCACACCTCATGATTTCCAACACCAACCTGGATAGTTGGTGCACATGGCCCCCGGCTGGATCGAGATCCCGTGGAGGGTCCACAACAGGGCCAGGTTCGTGCACATGTCCGAGGAAGGTGGGGAGACGATCGTCGTCGGGAAGTACCCGTCGCAAGGGCCAAACAGCACGATTCCCCTTGGGGTCAAGCTGGCGTCGAAGGGCGTGGTTTTGATCGGCATTCCATTGGCAGACCAGCCAGATCAACACCGAGTCACCGAGCTTTTCTTGAGTTGGGGGCTGTAGCCAGATGGCACCTGCAGACTTCTGGACCGCGTGCCTGCCTCAGTCCTTCGGACGCAGCCTGTGACTCCAGAGGTCTGCGCAGACATCTGGACCACACCTGCCTTACCCACAGCGGTTCCTGCTACATACCTAGGTAGGTTGCTTCGGACGCACCTTTTGGACGCACCCAACTCGACTCCACTCCTTCTGAAAGCCACCTTAAGGTACCTACGGTAAGGCACCACAGCTGTGGGAGCTATTGAGCCGGGGGCCCAAGCTCATACAACCTTGATATCTTTCAGCCAGCAGGCGCGAGAACATGGGAAGTCGCGATACTGACGATGGTGAAAACCGGTCACGATGGGCTGGTTAAAACAAGAGAAAGAGACGAAAACCAGCCCCGCCCGACGGAAGGAAAAGAAGTTTAGCACCCCGTGGCTTATAGTTGCCCGACAAAGAGTGCATTGCTTGCTGTGCGCAACGACTGGCCTCGTGCACTGTGTTTACGTCGTCGATGCCGATGTGGTTCAGCGGCCACTGAGCAACAAGGGACCTGGATGGTCAAGCACGGGCCAATCAGACGTGTGGGATCTCGGTGTGGGTAGCCGAAAGTTGTCGGTAGCTGACTTCCGGCTACCCACACTCTCAGAGTAGGCATGCTGGGTACGTACTGCCTGAGGGGTCCGTGCTAGGTTCTGTGGGGACCTTGATGACTGAGGTAAAGCTGGCGCAGGTCATCACAACCACAGGAGAATTACACTTGGAGAAGGTCTCGTGGAGGCTTCGTGACCACCCGAATAAATCGCGTTTTCATAAACCCCTGGTTATGTGACTTCGGCTCCATGTTCACCACGCAGGCGTCGGTTCAAGCGGAGGCATTTCATCGTGTCCAGATTGTGTGGGACCCGTGCTATCAGTGTATCTTCCCTTGTGGCAGCATTAATGGAAGCCACTGCCTGCCTGGCCGCAACTTCCATCTCCTTCGCACGCACTGCTTCCGACGCACCCAAGATCGATACGTCCGAAAACGACCCTACGAAAATCGATGCGTCTTTAGGCCCTTCCTCAAAGGCCTGAGCCCCGCACTCCGAGAGCCCATGAACCGGCTCTGCACCAGCGCCTCTTGCAGGACAGCCAATGAATGACATGAGGCAAGACGAGAACCTGGCATTATCCGCGTCCACAGCGAATTTCTTGTCGGTGATGTCAGGTAGGATGGTCACGAGGGAATGATGCAAGATTGGTTTCGCCTAGGGATGATCTCTTTCAGGAGTACTCTGCACCTCTCCGCTTCGTCGGTGGAAGCAAAATGCATGAGCCATGGATGGCGACGCGATGAGGACGGAGAGATCGTTCGGTCGGTATGTGCTATGGCTGGAACATGGCTCGTGCTAAAGGGTCACATGATATCGTGTGTTGACGCGTGGCAAACCCTTCTGTGGACGCGAGCGGTTGAAGCCCGGGGCGTGGCGCGGATTTCAGTCCCTACCTATGGAACCGGGCTGCTTGGTTACCTTACAGCACCGCATGATGCGGTGGAGATGAGCACAGCTTCTGGCCTTGGCAAGAGTACATCATGGGGCGGGACGGCGGGCTTCGTTATTTTCACTACTTTGGGGATGTTTATTGAGTCTTCTGGACAGTTGTAATTCCCGCGAGTCGAGCTCCTGGACTTGGAAGTGATTATGCTGGATGCAGGGATGCTGTCCGGTTGGGTGTGGTGCAGCACGACGTTGCGCAGCATCCCTTCAGCGCACCCCCAGGGTGCACGTCTGTGTCGGCCAATGAGATGTGTGGAACTCCTCTCTGGGTAGCTGACTTTCGGCTACCCATGGGCGCTGGACTACAGGCTGCAACCGACAAAAGCTTCGACAAGAGCTCTAGTCAGAGCCGCCCTTCCTCAAAGCGCAACTGCCTTGGGACGGCAGGCCCAACTGCCACTTGGAAGGCATGGAGGCGCACTTGGAGGGCAGGCACCGGCACCAGCCACAAGGGATGTCGAGCAGCACTCCGAAACAAGAGTCCCCTTGTCCAGGTTCACATCGACGACATCCCCAAGAACAACTCATCAATTCAACGACCAACCTATCCATGTCCAGACTTCCGACAGCAAGCTCGCCTACGTATCTTCCAAGTCACCCTCGCTTCATCTCGCCGATGGACGGTCCACGGATACCACTCATGAGCGCGACCAGAGCTCATGCCTATGGGAACGGCCACGATACCAGGTTACCAGGTTACCAGGTTACCATATGGTAACCTGGTAATCTGTGGGTGGGGCGCAGATTCCAGCGCTAAAATCGGCAGCCACTCTGTGCAGCACCTACCTAGCCCAACTGCCACCATGGACGGCAGACGGTTCGCGCCTGGAATTGCCCGGTTTGTCTAACTTCTCCTTCATCCTTCACCGAATCTCCCGCCAACTGCCAATGCACTCGGACTCGACACAGCACTGCGGCTAGGACAGGCGCGAAAGACCATCGCCGGATTTCTCGATGAGAAAGGTCTCTGGCTCGAGGACCATCAATTTCTGCCAGTTGAGAAGCATGCTAACCAGCCTGCACAGGCGACGGCAACCTCAGGCTTCTACTGCGCAGACGTTTCATTTTCGTACCTCCCGAAATTCTCCCAAACATCATGTTTCTGCGATCACAACTTCCCTTCCCTGGCCCGCGAAACCAAAACGCACAAACAAATCATCTCCGAGTCTTGATCCACGATCATGTCGGTCGATATCTTCGCCGAGTTGGAACAACGACGCAGACTGGGATTACCACACAAGCTGCGGACACAATCGCCATGGTTCTCCTACCTGCGGAGCAGACTGGTTCATCTGGGGGCGTTGCCTTCCGCAGTCCCACCGCCTCAACGACGAGACGGCCACCACCAACTTGATACGACCGCGTACATTGGTGTCAAGTTCGCTTTCAACCCTGTCGCAGTCCCACCAAGGAAACTGAGGTCGCTACATCCACTGTCAGACCACTCGGCCAGAGCACTCGTTTGACTTTGCAATGTTCAGAGGACCTGGCTGCGCAAGCGTGAATGAGTAGGGTTTCGTGCTGCTATCCCCAACTGGCTGAGCGTAGAGGTCAAAGTGACCGTGTGGTTTTTCCCGAGTAGTGCCCCCAAAAGGGTTGAATGTTCTGCAGTCTCCTTGCGGGGGAGGAGGAGCTGCGCCGAAATTTCAATTTCAACATCTCACATCAGATCCCCCAAGCCTCGAGCTGCGAAGAGCGCCTCACCAGCCAAGACTTTGCAAGTCAAGACGTCACCTGCCAAGCGCTCTCACCTAAGGATATTTCTCCCTCGCCGTCCGTTGGACCCGCACCATCGCGCTCATCTGCTCCTACGCTAGTCGCCGAGCCTGTTCCTGCGATCATGGGACTGGCGTCTCGTCATCATCTGCCCCCGCAGCCACGATTGTCATGCTGGGTGGACAGCTCGACACATTCTCAGGTGGCTCCTTTCCGTACGTCTTGAGCATCTTTCCGTGGCCCGACTTACAGGCAGCAGTGGCTTTGCGCGCCGGGTTGGGAGCCGTGTAGTTCTTGGGTGTTGGTATCGCTTCCCCAGGCGGAGAATCCAGTGCCGGCCAATGACCCCTCCTGGCATTGGGACTCTGCTCTGGCTGTGTCTACAGCTTCCTATTAATGCTCGTGGCGAGCTGCACGTATCGTCGGCAGGAACACATGTTGGTGCATACCATAGTCGCAGATGCCACAAACAGGAAAGAGGCGTAGGAAAACCGCTAAAGATTGGCGGATGCCGGTCCGGATCGCTGTTCCGGCTACTGAGCCAATGGACATTGACGCCGGCGGGGGCAGCGGAAGAGCCAATGGACGTTGACAATGGCGGGGGCAGCAGCAAGGCGAAGGGAAAGCTGAAAGTTGTCCAGATGGCGCTCTTTGTTGTGGATCTGGATAATGGCGCAGCTAGCAGGGCAGTGAAGGGGGCGGGGAAGGCTACCTCGACTGTGGTTGTCCTCGAGCCGATGGACGTCGACAATGGCGAGGGCCGCAGCGAGGGAACCGAAGGCGGTCTAGTCTAAAGCCAAGAGCACCAATCAGGGAGGCCAGGCGAGCATCTGAGAGAGAAGTAGGCGGATTCATTAATCGAGCTCTTCCTAATCACCATACGTCCCTCGCTACCGCTGAAGCCGATGCAATTGTCCGGCGTGGATGGCATCCGCACTGAATATGAACAGGAGATGCCGGTCGAAATACACACATCTTGGCCTGGCGGTCTTCATATGAGCCGGCGACGCTTGATAGTCGCGTGATGAGAGATGGGATGGAATTAAGGCGGTGACTGGCGTCAGACCTGGGGAAGATGTTCCGTCGTGTTGTATGGGGTGGAAGCCAAGAACCGATGGTATTTGATCGAACTATGATTTGGCACCCGTAGATATCAATTATGGAGAGGATATCAATACAATCATGCAGTGGTCAATGTTGGGGCTGCCTGTCGTACATCATTCGCTACGTAGTTCTGACGGTCTGACAGAAGCCAAAGTCGACCTCAATATCCAATGTGGAGACAGGGGAGAAACAAAGTTTCCCAACAAGACGCCCTCATTGACAGCAACGAGAACTTAAGCCAGGACCTTGAGTTCAATGCCGCTTCGAATCTGTCCACGCGATGTCGCCGTCACCCGGACCGACTGTATCTGCACTTTCTGCTGCCCGCAGTAGCCAACACCGACCTTTTCGCGCGCTTGTGTTCCACCGGTTCGAACACCGCATCACGTCACTTCGCTGGCGTGGAACGCTCATGACGAGAGTGCAATAAAAGTCAGGGCATTGGAAGATGTGCTTTCGTCTCTGCGCCAGACAGCACACGCCTGGGAGGCTTCCCACCAGCCCATGTTCCGAAACTTGGTGCGCAGACACAACGGACAAACTTGCTCGGGAAATATTCATGCACCGATTTCACCGGCCGCTCTTCATACCTGGAGGAGCCGTCTGATATGATCTTAGCATCTTGAATACAACCCTTTAACGGGGTAAGTTGTTTGCCTACCTAACAGAGAAGATGTGAAGTTTCCCAATCTGCGTCCTACCCGACACGGTCACATCCCAAGAAACTAGTCCACCAACATGGCCTGAATTACTCAGAACACAATGGAAGTGCTTTGAATCTCTGCTCGACTCAGTTGCCGTTGTCAACGTCATCCCCCGCATCATAAGCCACCCTAGCAATAGCGACAGCAGAGAAAGCACAGCGTTGTCGTCGCAGCCGGCCGGCACCAGGAGCATTAATGGATGGTCAGTCGGGAATCCGGTATCCAGCACCACTGCACGTCTTCGTCCGCTGGCTGTGATAGTAGCACGAGCTCCACGGATTGGAACAGGTGTATCTTGCAACTTTTACCGCTCACATCGGCATTGCTAACATCATTGGGCAGCTGTCTAACGCCATCGGGGCTTTCAACGTAGGGCCGTCATCACGGATGGATCAGCGCTCAAGCGTGGGGGAATACCGGAAGCCGGCGCCCGCAAGACCTTCGCGAGCTGAAAATCCATTGATTGGAAGGAGACGTGTGAGTTCAGTCAGCTTGGAAAGCATGCAGAAGTAAATGTCGCCAGCTTGCCTCCCTGCGATGCACAATGTCAACACCTAGATGTTGAACAGAGCCAGACCGACGTCAAAGCTCCCGAGAATGCTTGGAGAAGCAAGCAGTCTTTTTCTAGTGTTCTTGTGCGTCCCACGCCTTTGCTTTCCGCTTGTATCCTGTTCATCGGCTTTGACGGATCCCATCATTTCGCAGCGTGATCCAACTCAAGATCGGACAGATACATAGACATTGTTCCACCTATGAGGCAGTCACTTGGGAGCTTTACTCGGGAAGAAGATGAGGCTCCGAATGGGTGTTGGCCAGGACTTCTTCATCCAGGCTGTTTGGCAGTTCACCCAAAGCCCATGCTCTGGCAATCGTCTTCTTCCAATACCAAGGCAACACTCTTGTTCCTGGAACACTACCGCCACTTCTGCCACGGCCCTGAGTGATATTTGGAACAGCGGCGTGTCACCGTTGGGTGGAGCGAGCACACGTATCTTTCATCATCGTCGCAATCGCCATGGCTTGACATTGTTGACAATGTTACAAGCAAAATAAGTTAGACTGACTAACGTCTACTGCATTTGCTCGGAGGCCATGCTTGCCCTCCACGCAGGCTCCACAGCCCCTTTCGAAGGGAAAAAGACATCTATTGAGCCCTAGGAAGTATTCGTGACCGGTTTTCCGCGAGCATCACGGACTTCAATGGTGGCCATGATAATGGCCATCGTGATGTAACATGCTTCTCGGCTCTGAGAACCATTCAAGTACAACTGCAGGCTATAAAGTTAGCAGCATGATCATCAGGCCTCCACCAAAGAGCCTCTATGAGGCATTGGAGGGGACTGCGAAGTGGCCAAGTTGCCAAACAGGATAGGGATTCCGAGGACCAGCAAAAGTATCTGTCGTGGTCAGATCAACGCCTTTGCAGAAAGAAAAGCGATGTTTCGTGTGCTTCTCCACCTGGGCGACGCTTTTGATAAAATACGCAACTTTATGCACACAGCGCATCGTGGGAGAACTTGGCACAGACTAAGCTGCATTCCAAACCAGGGTCTCAGCATCCTCCGCACCCTCGATCCGCTACTAGTCGCTCCTCTGTGCAGCCATTCGATGGTATAACCCTTCCTCTTTAACTGTGGCCGCTAGCGTTTCGTCATTCGCGGCGAGGGATTCTTGTTGAGGACGCTGGTTGTGCATCTCGGTCCGCATCGCATGTCAGCGGAAGTTTCTTGGGAGTGGATAGATGAGATGCGCAGAGCGCGCAGGCGCTTGGCTGTAGCAGCCGAGGAGATACGTTCGTTATTGTCATCCTCCTACCATAACAGCTGCTACCTCTAAAAGCACCTGCATGCCCACTCGGGCGTCTGTAGCCTCGTCCTCAGTCGACTTCACCTAGAAGATAATCCGACCCCTAGAAAAATCCGACCCCTATAAAAATCCGACCCCTAGAAGAATCCGACCCCTAGAAGAATCCGACTTCTCCAAGAATCCAACCTCTCCAAGAATCCGACCTCTCCAAGAATCCGACCTCTTAAAGAATTCGACCTATCGAGAGACCCCACCTATAGTTTGAGCTCTTAAAGAAATTCGATCTACTGAAAACTGGATCTCTGAAAACATTTCGACTTGTGAAAAGATTAACCCGTAGGAATCTTCTCTTGAAACAGGAAGAAGCTACTAATTCTACCCCTGTTAGAAAGGACTTAATCCGCTAGAACACTGCACTCGCGCTCTGCTATTAGCCGGAGCTAAATCTCTGAGCCTCTCGTATTAAAGCCTTGGTTCTCTTCGCGCCAAGCAAGGGAGTAGCTAAAATAACAGGCTCGTCCACCCTGCCGACGAGCAGCGGCTTGTCGAGGAGGTCATGGTTAACGGCGGCGGCAGCTGTGTGCACGCGCGATGTGTGGATGTGATGCTGTCCGGTCGGGGCACTCTTAGTATCGCGGGATGAAGGCAGGAAGACGATGGCGACAACGACAGCCGAGAAAGGGCAACAAAATGGTGCTGAAGCAGCATTGACGAGACCGAAATGGGGCCTGAGAGGTAAAAGGCTTAAGGGCGAGCCAAAGGTGGCAAATTTGGAGGAAAGAAGGCGGACAAAGCCCTGGCATTGAACAACAAAGCCAGGCAGAGTCCGGGGAAGGAGAGCGGACGGGGAGCAACGACGGACAACACTCAGGTCGGAGCCTGTTCCAGCGAAATGGAGAGACAAAGAACTCGTGGATGCAGAGCTTGCCAACCTGAATGGCAAAGTAGGCGCGGTCATTGCTTTAATTGTTATTATTGATGCTGAGAGCGGGGTTGAGTTGGTTGATGTTAAGTAGGGGGGAATGTGGGATTGCATCTACGGTACGAAAAGACAGCATGATGAAGCCCTCGTGGACATACGGCGGCAGAGTTCATGGCGTTGATATGAGCGACGAAGGCATCAAAACTGCTGCAGTCAAAGGGCCGAACAGTGCTAGACAAACGTCTTTCTGATCGACCGATTTCTCTTGCTGAGTGGCTCTCCTTTTGACTCCGATCGCACGAACTACAGCGCATACGCCCAACACTGCACCCTGTTCCACGAACCTTGCCACGCCGTTCTGATCACCGCTGACAACCCGATCCCAAGCAACAATGTAAGCCCCGGCCGTCAGGATCCTGTTGAGAAAGCATGACCAGCCATGGATGGCTGAGAAGAAGGCTGCAACTGCTGGCGTCCCCGATGCATCTGTTCATGTCTCTGCGAGGCAGTAGATTGAATGATAATTGTGCTTCACCTTTAGAACACAACCCCTCAAATACATATCCACTGCCCTGACCCAGAGCCTTCTCAAAAAGACCCACCGCAACCATGCGACCCAGTATCCCGCCTTCTTCCAGGACAACATCTTACGCTCGAGATGCGTCCAGTTCCCGCTGGAACTAGGCTATACACAGCCACAAAGAAGCTTGCCTCTGCTCCGTCGTAGGACGGAGGTTGCTGCTATGCTAGTCCGGTGGGTTATCGGAAGCTTAGATCTCAGACCAAGGCCCCAAGACTTCTGCTGCTGCTGCTTCTCAGATGTCAGTTCCAACGTCGCCATTGCCGCCGTATTCGAGCAACGGAATTTGCATTTAAGGCCATAGAAGCAGTCACTGGGAGACCTCAAAAGTCCAGGTCCAGGCCGATGGGGAAAGGAAGTTTCTGGCCGTGTTGTCGAGGTTAGATGTGACGATGTTGACGGCAAGGCCGACGATGAGTACGATAATCAAGGCTCTTTTGCAGGGGCCGACAATACCCATGAAGAACCAAGGAGGTCTTAAAGCCAGGGCCAGTTTATACGTGCCCAGGCAAGCTTATATGGCGGCGGCGGAAAGAGGTTGTTCTTGTCAGGCGTTGGGTGCGAAGTCGACAGCTCGGACGAAGTAGGGAGAGGTGGCGTGGACCACTGTGTTTTGAGTGTTGTCATTGGTTTGGGATGTTTATCTGCGAGTGGTGATTTTGTATCGTGTTATCGCAGTGTTCATTTTGTTATTGTGCACCTGGCAGTCGTCGGGAGGAGGAGCCCCGCAAGCCGTCGACCGCAAGCCCATGGCGGAAGAGACGGCTTTCGGCGATAGCTCCACTTTCGGACGCTAATCGGAACCGAATGTGGAGCAGTTGCTTCGTGCTAAAGAACCGGTGGAGCCATCTGCCGAAGTTTCCACATGAACATGGTGTGAGGAGGAATACAGAGGGCACGGGCATGAAGGAAGGCACCAGGAAGGACAGTAGCGGCAACGGCAACTGCAACGGTGACAGAAACGACGACGGCGACCTGGATTCTGTCCCTGGGGTTTCACTCTGGAAATCTCACGGGAGCTCAAGCCGGCTTCATCAGCGTCCGCAGTGTCTTGTTATTTACACCCTGACTATCTCAAATTTCACCATCGTCTTGAGCTTGGTAATGGAAAAGAAAGACCTCTCTGAAGTCAAGTTCACGGAGAGATCACGGTGTTCTTCAGACCTTTGGGGGAAATCATGGAATTTTTCATGTTTGATGTTGGCCACTGGTCGTAGTCATCTTGCCGGCCAACATGCAATTGAATTCCTCTGAAGGACATTTTCACGCAAAAAGGAATCAATTTCCAACATGCGGCAGACTGCGGGCTGTGAAGTTGGTCACGGAGTCTTGGACCACATGTCTTTTCTGCTATTCATTGATCACATCTCTTTCACTAGACACTGCCTTCCTCGACTCTAGTGTCTTCTGTCACTTGTAGTTTCTCGCCTATCCTTCTCCTACCTTGCACCGCCCTCCTCCCGCACTGTGCCCGGCATCTCGACTTATCGCCGCACCGTACATCCTTCAACCGTCTGACCACACTCGTCTCGGCGGGGTGTGTCGGAATCCTTCGCTGCCTTGCCTGCCGACCTCGACTGACTTCTGTCGTAGCAGCAAGGCGCCTCTCCGCCCACGGCCGCGCCGCTAATAACCGAATCGCCGTCTTGTTTCTCGTCGCAATCGCCTTCATGGTCGTTAAGCTTGACAAGCGCAGCAACGCTGACCATGTCGCTGGCTACTCGCATTGGACTATGTTTGGTTTGCCCGCGCCTGTGGCGATGATATTAATCGAGATGACATTCCAAATCATGTTGTCTGGCAGGTGCCGCACGCGTCCTGCCATCTGCAAACGGCAGATGATGCCAATATCGCCGCCTATGGTTGCTCCTGACGAACCCTTTCAGCCTGCTGTCAGAGCTGCCACTTTTGCAGACCAACTCGAATTAAGCAAAACAAATCCGTTGTATTTTCAGCCTCGCCATGCCCGCCAAAGGACAGCCAACCCTTGTCGAAGCGTCGCCCGCATGCGAATTCTATGTGGCGTCCCACCAACCGTCGTCCTTCTCGTTGAAATCCTGGATTGAGCTACGAAATAGCACTCTCTGAATGTATCTGAATGCCGCATTCAAATCCAGAAAGAACCTTTTTGACATAGACAGCTGCCAACGCAAAGATTCCGATGTTGTCAAGTCGCCCTCAACCTGTCCTTGTCGCAGCACCCAAGGCTCCCCTGCCGAGAGCTACGACACCAGTGGGGGGTTCAGGGATTGCATAACTCTCTGCTCCTGCCTGTGAAGTTGCGCCGTGCTATCAGTCCATGTGATTTAGCAGGTACATGTCTGGATTCGCACCACCGTGGCAGGCGGCTGAGAATTCGTTTGCACACGATGCCGCACCCTTTTCTCGAGCAAAGTTCGAAGCAGATCCAGAAATCTGATGTGATGAGGGGGAAGCTCTGGACTCTCAGGTCATGAAATAATAAGGAGGCCTTGGTCAATGCAAAGGGGTGTTCTCCCAAAAGGACGGCTTTGCTGGGATCACGGGTTGAGGTGGGAGCGTTTGTAATGGAGGCTTGTGGGCCATGGATCTCAAAAGCTCCAACGGCTAGGTATGGTAGCTTTCGGAAGGAGCGGCCGATTTGGCGCTGGAATCAGCATCTAACCACTGAAAGCACAGGCACCAGCACTGAAGCACCCGCCCAAGTCAACACGGTCCAGCCCGAGCATGACGAAATTTCCTTCGGCAATTGAAGCTGTCCCAAGAAGGTTTACCATGATCCGAAGTCAAACTCTAGTTTTTTTCATATGATTTCGTCAAAGTATCATTATTGGACCCACGCAGAGAAGAGCTGCTACTCTCACGGGAGCTTCTAGGTTTGACACGAATCCAGCTTGACATGGATGAGTAACGTGCATGCATGACGAGAATCCTTTGGGCAAAGCCATTTCTCCCAGCCGCTTTTTATAATGCGAGAGCTCTGCCTAGCTTACCAATGAGAACAAGGCACCAGGTAGATGGGCACCGGCAAACCTGGTGGTTGCTGAAACTGCCAGTGAATATCGACAGACGATGAAGTCAGCAGGAAGTTACCAGTGGCACGATGAGCATGCGGCGAATGCACACCAAGGTGTGCCAGAGGATCCAAGACGTGTTGAAGAAGGATCTAGAAGTGGGGTGCCATGAGTAAGGTGAGCAGGCCGGACCTTGGTCATCCAATGCAACACTTTGCTCGCGTCACCCTTTGGTCCGCAGGCTTGCACTGTGGCTGGCCAGACCGCGATGCTCCCTCTTTGCGACCTTGACGAGTGCGCTCTTAAATGATTGAGTAGCACGCGCAAAGCATTATTGATTAGGATGATTGGCAAGATGGGGTGGGTTTTCCGTTGTCATTTGACACGAATGCTGTGCAAGGTGATTTTGGTTGTGGGTGGTCAGTGGACAGCTGCCAACTACCTTATTGCCAAGTTGCGGGACAGCTGGCACGCAAAAGCTGCGCGCAGGGAACCAACCCAGCCTGTGCCGGCAGTGTGAGATCTTGGTCGGAGATAAGACGAGATCAGATGAGCGAGATCGGATCGGCCAATGGAATCCCACGCCGTGCGGGGCGAGGTGTGCGGAGGTGGTCCTACCTGAGGACGTGGACCCACCCTTGTCCAACAGAAGAACGGACGAGGGTCGTGTGGGGGGGGGGGGCGGGGGGGGTGCCCACCGCGCAGACCACCTGCAGATCTGAGGTTTGGTGCGTCGAGTGGCAGGCAGCCTGATACCAGCAAGTGCCGAACCTGCAGGAGAGAGAGCACCGACGTCACTACTGCTTTAGGTTTGTACAGGAACGGGACGGAGGGCACCGCACGCGCCGTACGCAACCCGACTCACCCCTCGTTATACTTGATGGCACCTGCCTTATCTTATCGAAATCCTGGCCAAACCTTCCGCTGTTTGCCATCCAATAATCTCGGTAAATGACAGTTGCCGTCATCAAGCTTGGAACAAAAGACAAAGCTTGACGTCTACCCATCATGGCGCCATCGTCTTGAGAGTTCTTTCCCAGACAATACTTTTTTGGAGCCCGCATCTTCACAGCAGCCGCCTCAACCTCGCTCGCACCCCACACTACCACAATCATCACCAACACTGCCCCGCGCACCTCGGTTGGCAAGGTGTTATTCATGCCAGATCGATGCCTCCGAAAGGCGGGCCAAAGAACGCATCAAACCTCAGCGAGCTAGTGAAAGCCTTCGCCGAGGCATTCAAGGCAAGTCAGGAGCAGCTCGCCAAAGCCTACGACGACCTCGCCTCTGGCTATCAGAAACACGAATCCAAGCTTCCCAAGAACCGACCGCGAATTCCCTTCGCCGAGTGGGCGTCCCGCGAGATCGAAGGCCCCATCCTCCGCCGCGTACTCGAGGCAAGGTTCGAGTCACACTGGGATTCCCTGAAAAAGTCGGAGCAAGCCCGCCGGAACCAGGCCATCGAGGCTCTCGGCTTGGAACACTCGGGAGAGCTTTATCTATGGTTCGGGGAAGCTGCCGTCGCATCTCGAGAGGCTTGGCTCGGCCTTGGCTCCCTTGAAGTCACGGCTGTAACTCTGTTCTCAGAGATCATTGCTGGCCGCGCGGAAAAGAACAGCCGCCCTCCACATTACTTGCGCACTACATTCACACCATCCGAGGTGATTGCTGCCAAGAAGCGACGTAGGCATCCCTCATACCCTTGCAGAAAATGATTGTTCACTGACGTTTCAAAGTTCCACGCATCAAGCCCGAAGTCACAAAGAAAAATCACAGAAACAAGCTCAGAGAAGTCGAATCGCAAGAGAATCGAGTGGTCGAAGACAGCAACCGCGTTTCCGACAACTCTAGTCGAAAGATTGCCGTCCCGCGCGGTGAAGACACCCAAGGCCAGGGTTCCACCATTTCCGAGTCGTGGTGGGAGAAAGTCAGCAAGGACATTGAAACCGACCGAGCGGTCTACAATACTGAATCGGCACGGCCATCGGTCAGAGACGAAGACGCCGAGAGTCTCTTGCAAAATTGGAACGCGGGCCAGCCCTACGACGCGAACGAATCTCCGTCTCCGCTGTTCGACGAGGAAACCTCTGCGCCGGTGTTCAACGACGAAACCTCTGCGGACTCGGCTATGCGCAGCAAAACAAACAGAGTGTTGGGGGCTGGAATGGGGGCAGCAGCCAGCAGGGTGAGCCCCGGAGCGGAGGGAGCATCTCCAGACGACAGCGCAATTGGTATGGAGGAGTTTGACGGACCCGTCATCGACAGAAACGACGATTCCGGCAACCCGAATGAGGCGTTTGGTCAACCTCGCCCGGCCGCCAGCAAGCCACTGCACGACGGCAAAGCACTCGAGGCACCGAATGCAGAGGAGAACGCTCATGATGCACTTGACGCACTTGAAGACTTGTTCCAAACGGGCCTTACACGCATTGCTCAAGCCAAGGAATGCATCTCGGCCCACAAGAATGATGAGAAGGCAGCCCTCCATGACTGCGCCGAGTTGAGGAACAAGATGGTCCACCTCAACGAGCGGCTCATTGCTCGGGCAGACGAGCTTTTGCGCGCAGCCGATGGCTCGGAGGCAGAATGGACCAAGTATTCTCAGGGTCATCTCGAGGCTGGGAATTGGGAGAAGGAGCTTGTTGAGGCAGGTGGGAAGAAGCGCAAGAGGTCGGCGGACGCCAGCACCTCACAAGAGAAAAGGACCAAGGTTGAATCGTGCGCGGCGAGGGTTGCACAACAGGTGAAGAGCGCCAGCCAAACTCTTAATGAGCTGGAAAAGCTGTGTGAGAAAGACTAAACTAAAGTTGCTTTCTTTTTTGAACGATGGGTCGATGACGGATAGATGTTATCAAACGTTCACGTCAGGTGAATAGTGGTTGGACCATAGATATGACTACAATCAAGACGTTGTCACAGGTATTCATCCACCTTACTCTTTAGCAATGCAAGTGATTTCCGTGACGCCCAAAAGCAGCCACTCTGACACTTAGAGACAATTAAACACGTAGACCTGCGCGCCCCCATCGAGGCAGAACTTCTGCTCAGGTGGGCTGAGTGAGATGTCCGAGCCAGCGCCGGCGCCACAACGTTGAGCTTGCATTTGCGACACGGATGAGGCATTTCTCGAATATTTCAAGGGATGGCTTGCAGAGCTCCTGTTTTCTTGTAGGTACAGCTTGTGATGACCTGCTTGCGGTAGTCTCGGCGGAGGGTTGCCGTAGAAAGGGAATACACAGAAGAGATCCAACAAAAGACTGGGCTCGCGATGGCGAGCTGGTTGGGGTTGAAAAATACCGCCTGCCAAAAGCTCTCACACCCACGCCAAAGTCTCCTGCTGCCTCCCAAAGGTTTTGCAAAAGAGGTTTCCAACATCGCACAGGGCGCAAGCATAATACAACGGACATACTCCCAGCTTTACTCTAGATCAAATACAAGTCACACAGACGGCAATTTGACTTTTAACCTGTCGTCTATTCGCAATAGTAAACTCATATACTAGAATCTAGGTAGGTAGCTTTCCAAGACCGTTACGCAAATAGCGCGGGTTCTGCGGGAGTAATATCGACAAATAAAATAAGGGTGCTTACAGACAGGTTCCAGCAGACCACCGCATCGGCAGCGGATCCGGGCAAAGGAAACGCGTACAATATGGACCCTGTTTCGTTTGTGTCTCAGTATTGTTCCTCTTCTCGACGACCGTCGCCACGTCCAGCCAAGATGGCGTGACTTTTCATTGCGAACGATGCCAAGGTAAGTCCATCCCGTGCCAGCAGTCGCCGAAGCACATCCTGAAATGAGTAAAACCTCGTCCTCGCCCAACAAGCCATCCAGCGACTTGAACCAGCTATCCCTACAATATATAGGCATATTCTCCATGAAGTTCACAAGGAGAGCAGTCTAGCGCCGCTAATGAGGAACCGGTCATTCTGGGCTATTGGAAAGGCAATCGTCTGGGAGCCGGCAGATTTCGAATATCTCATCATGGAAGATGGGCGTCCACAAGAATACGCAAATGAGATCGTCAACTTAGGTTACGACTCATTCACAACAGTCCTGCACCCCCAGTACGTTTCCTAGCATTAATAGAGCTTGGTTTACCGCGCTTCAAACACATTCACGTACAATTGCGGAACACGCCTACACATTGCGTTCAGCAGTTCATCAAACAATGCCCTGGCCTGGCGTCGCTAACTATCGAACGGTGGACCTTTCATGTGGGAAATATCTTCTCCATCCCCAGTGCAGCTGGAAATCTTACACACCTCAACGTGAGTGTCAAAAGCGGGCTAACTCGAGAGGAGAACGACAGCAAAATGGACAGTGATGAAGATGGTAACATCGGCAACGACGCTGGCCTAGACCGAGAGATCACAACGCTGCAACATGCCAATGTCATATTCACAAAAAGCCGGCCAGGCGAAGGCCTAACACCGAGAGCCGTGTTGCAAGCGCTGGCACAGCCACAGGATCTGCGAGAAGCGGTGCTCAAAGACGTCGTCTTGGGACGGCGGATTTTACGAGCAAAAATCCATAGCGAGACCAACAAAATCCCGTACTTTCCCCATCTGGAACGTCTGGAGATCAAGCCATCTGATGCAATGGTCATCGAAGAAGTCGCACGCATCTCCATCCTGACGTATCTTCACGTGGGCGTCAGCTGGTCTTGTCACACATTTGCCCGGATATTGTCGGACAGACTGAGAGACTTCGTGCATCTCCAGACACTCAAGATTACGAATACGAGCGGGCACCGCTCGTGATGAGGAACAATGGGATGCCCAGCCCATCATTTTTCTCATACAAAACGTGGACTACCTGCAAACTCTTCGGCTGGACTTGGGAGACGCCGCACTCGAGAGGTCGGGGAGCTGGTGCGAAAAGTTTTCTACGGGCGGCCGTCACTGGAGACGCTGGCGATGAGTTTCAGCGTATGCTTGCCGACGGAGGCAGCTGGGCCGCGCGTTGTCCTCGGGATTGGACGTTCCCCGAGATTGAGTCCATCACAGTACCTTGTGCCGACACTGTGAAGGTAGGTGGAGGAAGCAGGCTACGCGACTTGTAACTACTTGATGTACAAGCCAAGTATGAAGTAGAAAAGAAAAGGGGGGGGGGGAGTGGGGGGTTCAACTGAACCGACACCCAGCGAATCTTGTGAGAATGACTGGAAATCCACCGACCTGGAAAGGTGCATGAGTATCTGTGAGAAACGGTGAGACGGGAGGAGACAATAGGTAAAAAGGTGGTCCTAAAGTGCTCGCGACGTTTGCCTTGTTGCGCCGGCTGTAGAAGATTCTTGTATTCCAAGACGTCGAATACCTAAAGGGAAGAATTTATTCGAAATCGGGGTCGGGCCAACAAACTGAATCTGCTCATGAGACCCATGAGTCATGACATGTGCAGACACATATTGTGGGTGCCAGCTGAGGGAGATGATTCCAGTGGACGGCCTCACAAAAAATATCAGCAATGCCACGGAACGAATTCATCGCCTGGACTCGCTCACCTTTTCCCGACCAATGAGCTAGACCTTGTGAGGGGTTAAAAATCTCTTAGCTGATCCCCGAACGCCAGCTGTCCCTTCTGCCAAACTGAATACCAGTCTGTGATCAGTGGATGGAGGGGTACGAGATGCGCGATACACGACCAGAACCTCTTGAACGATGTTTGAAGAGACCCCTCCCTGTACAGAAATCACGGCAGACAGGATGGGGTAGCTGGAGGTTATCCTGGAGACCAGCACCCACCGCAAGGCAAGTAGACTTGTCAAGTTCAATCAATCAATTATGAATAGGCCGTCACCACTCGATCAAGTCAAGTTTGAGTCTCAAACTTGATTGATTGCCTTGGCGTGGGTGCTGCTGGAGACATACCAGCTCCAGTAATCTTTTGTTCCCGAGACCTGACTTTTGGAGTAGACAGGGCCCGAGAATGCTTTCCGGCTGAACTGCCAGTTACCTGCATCTGCGTCAGACATCAACTCCACCCCATCGCAGCCCATTCCAGTTGGGCCGCTGCCCATCAGTTGTTTCACCGCTCACGAAGTCTTTAGTTGGGAGAACGGCTGGCATCAGAGCGGCCAAACGCTGCCTTTCAACAATCTTGATAACAAGACCGTACCCTATCTGGAAAGCTTTGAACGGCAACTTTCTCTCGCATCTGCAGCCGGCTCAAGGATTATCGTGCATGCAGAACTGCCAGAGCGACCATCGACACTACCTGCTGCAAGTCCTGATCCCGAGTTCGCACTCGCTGCCGTTCATCGCAACCGACAATGCAGATGCTGCTCCTTGCCAAGCATGGATAAGCGATCGGGATCCACTCCTTCAATTCCCAAGCGCTCACGGCTGGCTACGTCATCGCAGGTATCGGAGAGCGGATTTCACTCGGAACGCCTTGCGCTTGACTGGCTTCTCAAAGACGGGACGATTAACCAGGTCATTGAAGCAGCTGCGGCCTTATGCCTGCTCTCTTTGCGAGGCTTCATATGAAATTGAGCTTCTCAACCCCTAGCTTTCTAGATGAAATTATGTAGCTTCTTCAAGCTATTGCATCTGTTATTTCAGCTGATTGTTTCGCCTTGAAGGGAAGAATAAAGAGAATGAACGCGACAAAAACAGGAAAGAGGTGGATTCAAGGTGGATGGCTATATGAACGACAGCAACAAGAAAGAGGATCAAACGGGAGAATCCAGAAGCAGACTCTGGAACAGCAAGAGGAAAGCCAGTTACAGAATCACTGCCACTTCTTGTGCATCCAAAGACAGCAACATACTAAGGTCCATATCGCATTTGAGAGCGTTTGGCAAATGCCAAGGGATCTACAAGCATAACCAAAAGTTCAGCGTAGCGGTGCTTCTCAAACATGCTTCACCATTTCCTTACCTCCAGTAGGAACCTTACAGGGGGTATTCTTAATGGCGTCGGAGTCAGTCTCAACTAAGATGTCCATTGACCGGATCCTCCATGCCAATCGCAAGTTAACATTGCTGACTGTAAAGCCCTGACAAACCCGACCAGCATTTCCAATTGAAACCTGGACATTCACGAGAACTTCTAGCGAGTCCACTGTTGCGTAATCTGCTATTGATTCTTCGTAAGGGTCTTGAGGGCTTGATAATGTGTGGAGTCCAGCTGAATGGCGGAGTTCTGCTTTATCCGGCGAGCAAACGCTGATCTGGTATGCGAGATCAGTGTTCGTGGTCGTACACTTACAGGAGAGGCTCGACGAAAGGCTTTCGATGGTCCGTTCAGAGTATGCCGCATGTATTCGTCCACACAGTTTCGATCCAGCAGAGACTATAAGGTGAAGAATGAGACGGGACGTCCCGCAAAGCTCGCACGAAACATTCCGTCAACTACGCGAGTTGGGTGGCGTCAATCAGAGTTCATAGAAAGACGCCATAAGACGCCGCAACGGTCGCTGACCGGGAAGAAAGAGAAGACTTAACCGAGGCTTCATTTGCGAAGGAAAAGGTTCGAGAAACGATTTCTAGCACCAAGAAACCAATTTACCCAGGTGCCCAAAATATGTGGCCCAATCGAGCATGTCTTCGCGACCACGCCCGAGTTTTCAAAGCAGACAGCACGGAACAGCCATCTGAAAGTAGTCGCTCCAGCTTCAAATACTGCTCCAGCCTGGAACGTAATCAAGAAAAAAGGTGGCAAGACAACGGTCCCGCTTTCGTTCATGCGAGTCAGGCCCAGGTGAGCCAGAACGGTCTGACCTCTTTAGCAGCTGCTTCAAAGACGTGGCAGATCGTGATCTTCTGAAGGCATTTGAGAAGAAGCTGCACGGTAT